TTTTTTTTGCTAGGCTAGGTATTTTGGATGGTTTTCTTGGTGTTAAATATATAGGTTATAGATGTTTATTATCTTGAAAACCCAATAAACATATTGATTAAAAAAACCAGAGTGAGTATAAATGGGCAATTCTCTCAGTGGAGGGTGGTAAGCAGTGGGGTACCACAGGGATCAGTACTGGGTCCAATTACGAAGTTGTTCAGGGTAGTGAGAACCAGGGAGGATTGTGAGGCACTCCAAAGGGATCTGTTGAGGATGGGCGAGTGGGCGTCAACGTGGCAAATGGGGTTCAATGTGGCCAAGTGCAAAGTGATGCACATTGGAGCCAAAAATGCTAACTATAGATACACGTTGACAGGGTCCAAACTGGCAGAGACTGACCAAGAAAGAGATCTTAGAGTCTCACTGAAAATGTCGAGACAGTGTGCGACTGCAATAAAAAAGGCCAATGCTATGCTGGGGATTATTAGGAAAGGAATTGAAAACAAATCAGCCAGTATCATAATGCCCCTGTATAAATCAATGGTGCAACCTGATTTGGAGTACTGTGTACAATTCTGGTCACCACACCTCAAAAAGGATACTATAACATTGGAAAAAGTGCAGAAAAGGGCAACTCGAATGATAAAAGGGTTGGAACACTTTCCCTATGAAGAAAGGTTAAAATGCTTGGGGCTCTTTAGCTTGGAGAAACGATGGCTGAGGGGTGACACGATCGAGGTTTATAAGATTATGCATGGGATAGAGCAGGTAGAGAAAGAGGTACTTTTCTCCCTTTCTCACAATACAAGAACTTGTGGGCACTCAATGAAATTGCTGAGCAGTTGGGTTACAACAGATAAAAGGAAGTACTTCTTCACCCAAAGAGTGATTAACACATGGAATTCAGTGCCACAGGAGGTGTTGGTGACTAAAAGCATGGACGGCTTCAAGAGGGAATTGGATTAGCATATGGAGCAGAGGTCCATCAGTGACTATTAGCCACAAGGTATAGATAGGAACTCTCAGTCTGGGGCAAGTGATACACTGTATTCTTAAGATTGGCAGTGGCTTTTTCCCCCCCCCCCCCCAATACCATTTTGCAGTTGTTAAACTGGAACCTGTAAAAGGAGATGCATCCAGTCTGACATTTGTTTTTCTACTTGTTCACTGAACAGATGTAAATTGAATAGTAGTCTAGGCAAGTGTTAGAAACAGACATCTCATTTATACTGAAACGTTACATCCCACAGAACCAATCTTCTCTGGCTTCACACAATGTTTGCTGTCATCTACCTGATTTTGACAGTCCTGTTCATGAAACATCACACAAACTCCATCACGTATAAAGAAGAAGACCTAGTAAGTTTCTAATTTTTTTTCTGAAGTATTTCTGTTTATCCTATGATACAAGTCTGCTGTGGTGGGGGACTAAAATACTGTCTTCAGTAAAATACTGTCTTCATTGTCTTTTCAGTGAAGTCTGTGAAACAGGTGAAAATGTTCTCCCACTTAAAATGAGGTCAGAAAGCATTGGGCCTAATGATAACACTGCACAGTCAAATGTAGCTATAAGGCTTCATCTGGAAGCCTATTCAGTGCAAGGGTAGTGATAATCAGCGAGCAACAAATATAAGTGTGACTGTGTTAAACTTATTCCCTGCAATCACGGGGGGAAATTTTGTTTCACTCTGACATTTTTTCTTGGATAAAATTCAGTGTAGCTGTAATGCTGTGCTTTTGAGGGGCGGAAGTCAGTGGCAATATGATGATAAAACCAACTGAGAGACAGACTTTGGCCACTTGTACACAGGCTGTTTGCTACAGCTTGGATGCTATTGGGAAGCAGGTTTTATTCTAGTTCCCCACAGCCCTGTGGTGCTTCTGTGCACCTCCTGTTTTCCACAACTTTGATCTTTCCCAAACCTGCTTTGCTGCGATATGGTGATATGTCGGTGATTAAAAAAAGAAAAGCCCAGTGGTGGCAGGGTGGTAGTGACTGCTCTGTGGGGACTGAGGTGTGGCTCTGCCATGAGGAAGCCCCACTGCCACTGCTTTGTATTGGCAGCTGTAGTATCAGCAGGGAGAAAACACAACCCCATCCTGTGTGGGAAACACGTTTAACAGACCAAGTATTAATACACTTCTTACCCTGTGTGTAGTTAAAATCCAAAAGGCCTAGGAGAAAGTATCGATGTTGCTATTTATGTATTTTTTCTCTGGTTCTTTTATATGAGAAACTGATACTTTTGTTTTGTAGGTAAAACACACGCTGTTCATAAGTGGCCTTCCCAAAACTGCCACGAAAACAAACTTAGAAAATCACTTCATGTAAGTAAAAAACAAACAAACAAAACCTTGGCTGAATTAACAGTCTATATATTAATTTTAATAAAGACCCTTTATTTAGAATATTCTTATGCTGCCTCAAGTGGGCAACCAATCAAAACCATTAAAATAAACTTTAAAAAATATAGCCTATAAAATGAATTAAAACACACAAACAGGAACAAGGAGCCATTTCGACCTTTATTGGGATAAAAGATGCTGATAAATTACAATCAAGAATAAATACAAAGGTTAGATAGATGATAAGAACAGAGACATGAAACAGTTAATTAAGATAGTGACCAATAATACAGATCAAGTATGTATTTAAATCAATAAAACATCAGAAACAAATAGGAAAAATAGGCATCCAACAATTAAGATGCAGTGATGTGTTTGGACTTAATTTTATAAGCTTCAGCTAAAAATTTGGCAACAGATGTAGTGATTTGAGGGTTGACATCTTCTAAAAGATAAACTATTTCCCTTAAAGACACTATGCTGGAGGTATTTAGACAGGAATTGTTTACTTTGTAGAGCAAGGGGAGGGACACTCTAAAATGATATGGGATAACGAATCAAGAGTACCTAATTCACATGGACAAAGCATATTTTGAGAAGGTATTTGCCTAAATCTACCAAAAAGGACTACCAGTGGAAAAGCATTTAAACGGGCCAAAGTAAAGGCTCTGTGCTGGAATGGGGAATCCAAAATGGAAAAATAGTGGGGCATCATTCCATGCCTTTGATATATACCTAAATTAGCTGTGGAACAGACGGGGGTGCGAAGGGAACACTTTTTGTAATTCATGATCCATAAGCCTTAGTTGGATTGTTCTTAAAATATATGATTCATCACATAAAAGAAAGGAATCTACCTCAGTACTAAGCTTTTGAAGTTTGTGAATGAACATAAAATATAGAAAAATAGATCAGCTATGCATTAAGTAGGATAATAAGCTTCCGGGTTCAGATCTAAAGTGAATTTTTAACCAGTGTTTGAAAGCCATAATCCAAGCCTTAGTTTCTAAAAGGTGAAGACCCAACTCCACACATATAAGTGAATAGAGAACACCAGGAGTCATTTCGTAGAAAAAGAGATGCAGGAGCTCATTAGCATAACTCATTAGCATAACTTATTTGGATATGCCACACCCCCTGACATCATCGGAAGTGTGTCAGAAGGCAGCACCCACTGCTCAGGCTCCACCCCAAAAATCTCCAGGTATTTCCCAACTCAGAGCTGACGAGCCTACCTGGAGAAAAACTGCTTCAGTACAAAGAAAATAGGTTCAGGGGGTGTACATTGGTCTCCCCTCCTCCATTTGGTCCTCACAATGACCCTTAGAGGTAGACTAGGCTGAGAGAGTGGCTTGCCCACCATCACCTAACAATCTTCATAGCACAGCTCTACTGAGTGGAGCAGTTCACATCCTAAGCAAAATGTAACTGCTGTAATCTTAAAATGGGCAATGGGCAGTGCAAGACCCTACACGGCTCCAGATTGCTGCTGAGTGGGAGTCTCAGAGTGGCTGACAATCATTTCCCCTTCCCTTCTCCACAATTAGACGCCCTGGTTGTGAGGTAGGTGGGGCTGAGAGAACTAGAGAACTCTGACTGACCAAAGATGACCCAGCTGGCTTAATCTGAAGGAGTGGGGAATCAAATCCAGTTCTCCAGATTACAGTTCACTGCTCTTAACCACTACACCAAACTGGGCGGAACAGCCATAGACAAACAAATAAGAAGAAAATAGATAAAGGGGCTGCTCAGCAAGAAAAAAGACAGAAGGGAAAATCCTGCATGTGAGGGAGGGAAGAGGGTGAGATTGTCATAGGGGCTTTAGAAACAGTGTGACATAATAGAGTGGCAAACTAGGATCTGACAAATAAAGGTTCAAATCCCCACTCAGCCCTGAAGCTCACTGGGTTATCTTGGGTCAGTTGCTCTATCTTAATGTAGCCTATCTCACAGGGTTGTTGGAAGGATTAACTGGGGAGAATCCTGCAAACTGCCCTATGGCTCTAGAACAAAGGGTGAGGCAAAATACATAGACAATTTTCAAACCATGACAGTTTTATCAGCTGGGATGCTATGACATGTCAATGGGAGGTCCTGGCAGGGACAGATCTTTCTTGCCTTCTCTGTCACCCAGCAGCCATTTGTGATTGTCAATAAGGTATACAGGGGATTCGAGAATCCATACAGACAAAAAAACCATCCTTAGGTGGCTGGAGTGAGGAAAAGGAAACAAGCAAAGTTGCCCTTCCAGCTACCACTGTAAGCAGAGTCTTTTTCTTAGCATGGAGGAAGGTTTCTTGTGTGCATGGAAGGCATGCACAGGATCCAGTCCATTTCCTGCTTGGCCCTGGAGTAAAAATATACGGAAGCCATTGCTTTAAACTTCATCATGCACCAATTTTACAATGTGCATGTCCTATCTATGACATCAAAAATATCAGAATTGATTAAAAAGAAGCCCAAATAACTTTAAAAACTGACTCATGATGATTATTTGGATACTACAATGAAAGCTATGCGTTTAATTTTATAGTGTGAAGAAATGGTGTGAAGCCTTTTAACTCAGTCTCTCCTAATTCCCTTCCTTACTCTAGCCACCATTACTCATGCGTTTCATCCATGCAAGTCCCATGATTCCAAGAATAGCCTCTTAAGCGGTCAAAGGGGACCATTTCCTCCCCTTTTCACCAGTAGTTTTGCTTGTTTCTCCTGTTTCACACTCCGGGAATGCGGCGGCGGCTGTGGGGGACTCACCAGGACGTGGGCGAAGTGAGCATTGGGCCTGCCGGCATTGGGCATGGGCTGCTTGGGGAGTAGTGGCGAGGAGGTGGCGCTCCGGGGAAGAAGTGTGGGCCTGCGGCGGCTGTGGGGGACTCACCAGGACGTGGGCGAAGTGAGCATTGGGCCTGCCGGCATTGGGCATGGGCTGCTTGGGGAGTAGTGGCGAGGAGGTGGCGCTCCGGGGAAGAAGTGTGGGCCGCCAACGCCGCTTCGCCCTCCTCTTCCTCGCCCCAAAAGAGGAAGCTTTTTTTTGCCGCTGTGGCGCTCCTTGTGGCCACGGAGGCAGGAGGAGGACACTGCAGGAGGAGCGCGCTGTTGCTGGTGCTGCTTCCAGGCTGGGTGGGCGAGCTGCTGCAGTGGGGCTGCGGGCCCTCTTCCCCAGGCTGGAGTTGGGCAGAGAAGCTGCAGGAGGAGTGTGCTGCTGGTGGTGCCCCCGCCCCGGCTCTTGCCCCGGCTGCTGCCAGGCTGGGTGGGCGAGCTGCTGCAGCGGGGCTGCAGGCCCTCTCCCCCAGGCCAGGGCCATGGTTGCAGCTGGCCAGCCACCTCGCAGGCAGCTCGGCAGGCGGGCGAGGAGCCTCTGGGCTCCTTTCTGCCTGAGCGCTGCTCCGGTGCGCTCTGGCAGGAAATGACCCCTGGGGAACACATTTGGGAACTCCCATAATCTGCCGAAAGAAAGTGATTGTACATCCTCCATGCAAGAATTAAAGGCTTTAATCCACAAGGGAATTCTATATAATAGCTGAGGGAGAATTTTTGCATTATAGATTTTCAAGGCTGCTGGGATTAATTGATTACCTCCTAAAAAGTAGAACTTTTAAATTTGCGCCAGAGAGCATTTCACTAAGTTTATAGTTCTTTTACGGTGTTTTGGCCATCTAAGGTAAAGTAATGCCAAGGTACTTGAAGGCCTTCACTTGTTCAGTTTCCATGATACCAATGTGACACTTAAATAAGCACCAGTTCTTTGAAAAAATTAAAATCCTTGATTTTTCATAATTAATTATTAGGCTGTTCAGTTTGCAATATTGGTAGAAGGCTTCCAGATATCTTAGAAGGCTAATTCTAGTACGGGAAAAGAGGACAGTATCATCAGCATATAATAATAAATGTACAGCTAATTGTTCTAAAAGGGGGGATGACCATTCACACCAGACATATGTTGGCTCAGATTGTTCAGAAACAGTAATGGGCAAGAACACAACCTTGCTTAACTCCTTTAGTAATTGGAAAGTTAGTTGAAAGTTGACCATCGGGAGACTGAGGTAGCATCATGTAGTTTCTTAATTAGAAAAAGCAAACAAGACTCCGCAGAGTCTTGAGTTTTCCCCATAACAAGTCCATGGGGACTGGGTCAAATGCACCCAAAGGTCAGTGGGGGAACTCCAAACGAAATGAATAAGCCTTTGCCTGCTTTCAGAAGTCAGTGATTGAGAGGGACAGATGACTCCCACTGGGGAGGGAAGTCCATAATTTTAGTGTTGCAACTGAAAAGGCCCTTTCTCAGATTGCTACCTATTTAGCCTCAGATGGTGAGGGCAACCAAAGAAGAGCCCCAAAGAAGCTGATCATGAGCCAGTATAGCTGAGAAAAGAATGGACTAATATGGTACTTACTTCCCATTCCAGCTGGCATTCTGACTGTGGTATTCTGTACCAGCTTTAGCTTCCAAACACTCTTCATGTGCAGATCCCATGTAGAGCACGTTGCAGTAGTCTAATGTAGTCTCACTGCAATTTCAGCAAGATTTAACATTGTTTATTTATGACCTAGTGTGTTCAGAACAGCGTTCCGTGCGCCTCGGTGTTTAGTCATGCCGGCCACATGACCACGGAAACGTCTTCGGACAGCGCTGGCTCTTCGGCTTTGAAACAGAGATGAGCACCGCAACCCTAGAGTCGGATTCGACTGGCTTTCGAGCAAGGGAAACCTTTACCTTTACTGTTCAGAATTCCTATTCTTATTTGATCTGTAGATTATTTTTTCCTTTAAAAATGATTTGCTGGGCTTGTCACTTAGGAGTTTAATGTTTGTCTGAGTCAGAGTAGTCGTTAGTGTGTTCAGCTAGCATTAGGGAGGTCAGACTGAAATCCCTGCTCTATCACGAACATAACTGGCTGACCTTGGGCCACTCAACATCTGTCTGCCTAATCTACCTCCACAGGGTTGTTGTGATGATGAATAGGGTGGGGAGAGCCCTAAACTTTGAGGAAGGGTCAGTATGCAATCCTGCTTGTTCTGTGTAATGACAGCAGACTGTAAGTAAGCCATTGAAGGAGAGATCATATCCTGTTGTTTGGTATTGGCAGCTAGTCTGGCCAATTTGTTCATTCACTAAAGTATCATAAAGAAAGCCTGTGGGGGTGGATGGGAGAGGGGGGGATTTCCATAGTCCTTACTGAACATTCAAGAACCCTGGAAACTGCATTTTCAAGGATCCTTGGTCCTGGAAGCTGTTGTGGTGACATTCTGTGGCATTACAGAGGCACGGTGCCTTCCTTCCCCAACATTGTAGCTAACAGGTAAATTTATGTGGGAGTGTGGAGGGCAGGCAACATGGTAAGCCCACTCTATCAATCTTGACCTTTGAAGGAGTTTGAACCAGTTTAGAAGGGAATCTGGCATCACAATGTGTAAATTCATGTTCTGAATCTCAAACCCCAAATTCTGTGTCCTCCCCAATCTCTTATGAGCTTCTCTTCTATCTCTTTTGTCATTTTTCAGTGAAGCATATCCAACCTGCACTGTGAATGAGGTCAACTTGTGTTACGATGTATCCAGACTTACTTATCTGTATAAAGAGAGGTACCTGTATGAACAATGTCCTGGTGAAAACACATTCGCTTCGTATAAACATCAAAAAAATTCTGTTAAAGTGTAATGTTACAGTAAAGTGATTTCTAGCATCACTTAGGAAATGCTAGCATGTGTTGCATATGGAAACATAATTCTGAGCAGAGAAATTTATGATGGAAAATCGTGAAAAACAGATGCTTAAATGTTTCAGTGTAGGCATCGCTTTACTTGTTGTTAAGTGCCTGTATGCTGTGTGTATCTATGGCTACATAATGGGTGGCGCATGACAGCTCTCGTTGACCACAATACAGACAGTGTTAGATAGTGGATGGGTTTAGGCCAGGGAGACCCTGCTTCAGGTTCCCTGTCAGTCATTAAGCTTACAGATATACCAACTGCTGTCTGTTCTGAGAGTAAAGTAAGAGACCCTCATAAGACTGAGCTCTTTGTAGGAAGGGCAAGAAATGCTTATTTATTTTTAAAACTATACGTTATTTTTCAGTCTAGATTGCTCATGAAGGGGCTTTTAATTAATAATAAGAGTGTGTGTGTTATGTGCTGCCAAGTCTCTGACTTATGATGACTCTATGAGTTAATGAACTCCAAAACATTCTATCAATGACAGCCTTGCCAGGTCCTGCATACTGAAGGCCATGGCTTCCTTTATCGAGTCAATCCATCTCATGTTGGGTCTTCCTCTTTTCCTACTGCCTTCAACTTTTCCTAGCATTATTGCCTTTTCCAGTGAGTCTTGTCTTCGTGTGATGTGACCAAAGTAGGAATAGCCTCAGTTTAATCATTTTAGCTTCTAGGGAGAGTTAGGCTTGATTTGATCTAGGACCATTTATTTGTCTTTTGGCAGCCCATGCTATCTGTAAAACTCTCCCTCAACACCACATTGTAAATTAATAAATTTTCTTCCTGTCAGCTTTCTTCATTGTCTAGCTTTCACATCCCTCTCTACTAATGTGACTGGCCCGCGTTCACCTAGCAAGCTTTCATGGCTGAGTAGGGTTTAAACCTTGGTCTTCTAGATCCTAGTTTTAGCCCACTACACCACACAATGCATGTACACAAATGTATGTAGATTTCATCTGTATGATTCAGAAGGTTACATGCATGGAAAATTGAGCTTATGAAATATTCAATTTTGGGTATATCTACTTTTGCATCACAGTTTTTTGCTTTTTTTGCCCAGAAAAAAGGCAGAGAAAAGTGTGGTTTATTATACACACCTTCATGACAGATATGGAAAACGGTTTCTCATAAACCCCAAACCACTTGGCCATTTGTGCTGTTGTGAAATCAAAGGCTGTGAAAAGGTAAGAAATTATTGTTACTTCATAATTGGCTAAAATAGTGGAAGATTGTAACTGAAAACATCAAAATTTCTGATGTTTTACTATTTACTTCATAGCAAAATCTTAATATATGAAAAATGATAATGTGGGTGTTATTGTAAGACATAGTTTTACAATAATTTATCCAGTTGTTCTTGAATATTGTTTGAGACCTATGAAATATTATCTGTTTTGGTTATGTGCTTCACATCTCATATAGTGGTAGGACCTCAAAGAACTCTTGTTACAAATTCTCTTTAATTCCAACTCACTTGGAAGTCTACAGTATCTATTGAACATGATATTTGCTGATAAATGAGATGTTTGTGGATACATTCTTGTACATAATGATTATCTGATGTTTATTGTATTCATCAGAAGCTTTTAGCTTGACAATACTGCGTGACTCAGGAAGGCGGTAACTGAAATGTGTTTGGTGTTTATTTTATGATACTCTTTGACCAACCGAATATGTATTACTTGGTGATTGCCATGTACGAATTAGTTTAATGGGTTATCTGCCATATTGGTAAAGGAATTTATGTACAACTGAGCAATTTTTTATGGTTTGTGTGGTCTACTGGTTATTATTGTAATTAATGGATGATTAAAACTCTGTTAGTTTTGTTTTTCATTTGTATATATATTTTGAGGCCTTTTTGGTTATCTGATCTGTTTTGTTTTTAATTCAATACTGAATTGTAACGGAAGCTTGCTTTCCACAGGAGGATGCTATAGATTACTACACCAGAATTTCCAATAAATATTTGGAAGAATATTTGAAAGAGGAACAGGTGGTTTATGATAAGCCATTGGGAATGGCTTTTGTAACATTCCAGGAAAAATCCATGGCAACATAGTAAGTATATTATTGAATTCAATATTACTTCTACAGTTGGATTAATCATGAGAAATAAAAAGACTTATTCTGATTTGAACTTCAAAAAAGTTAATGAGTAAGGTTATATCTAGGCAAGTATCCATTAAATGCTATAACAAGTGACAAGACACCTCAGGATCCACTGGTTTTGCTTTTTGAAATCACTTTCTACGTTGAATCACTTTCTATTTTTTGTCAGTAATTTATTGTTTTATATTAGCCTTCTGTCTGAACTACATCTGATATAATTCAATAATTGGGCTTTGCTCCTCCCCACACATGCAGTGTGAATCTTTATAAGTAATCATTCCATTTCTTAAATTTGTCTTAAATTTAGTTCTGTGAACATTTTAGGTGGTTGTTCGGATAAATCATGGTGTACAGTAATCTGTGTACATATCACCACAATATTTTTAAATGTTTCATGCCCACAATTGAGCACTATATAAGCAGCATTCTGTGGTCAGTTTCTTTCTGTCTGCCCCTTTGTCATGGTGGAGGATACACGCTAATCTGTAATCTGACCCAGAACTAGGCGTAGAATTGGACAGTGTGAAGTAGAATGCCTTTATCCCAGCAGTCTAGCTTAATTTTATTCAAAAATCTCAACATTAGGAGTACATTATAATAGCATTTTCTCAGGGCATTAAACACTGTTTATGGATTTGTCCTGGGTCCTGTTGACCAGACTATGCTTGGAAATGTATGTTTACTAATGTGCTGCATGTGTACTGATAGGCTACCTATAAGTTTGTTTATTTATTTCATTAGATTTCTTGACCGTCCTTCCCCGCTTATGCGGAGTTCATGGCGGTTTACAACAACATAGTTCAATACAATTTTAAAACCAATTAAAACTACAAGAATTCAATATTAAGCCATTCAACATAAATATTTAAACATTTTAAAAACAAGATGGCATATCGAGCATTCAGATTTTTATGAAGAGGGGGGAGGGGAGGGTGCTGGGCAGATGTAGGGGAACCGTCGCTGGCCTCAACGAAAGGCCTGGTGGAACATCTCTGCTTTGCATGCCCTGCAGAACTTTAATAGTTCAGACAGGGCACGGATGTCATTTGGCAGAGAGTTCCACCAGGCTGCAGTCCAAGGCTGAGAAAGCCCTGGCCCTGGTTGAGGCCAGGAACCACCAGGAGATTCTTATGTGCTGATCTCAATGCCCTTTGGGGGACATATCGGGAGAGGCGGTCCTGAAGGTACCTAGGTCCCCGACTGCTAAGGGCTTTAAAGGTGAACACCAAAATCTTGAATGTGATCCGGTGCTCCACTGGCAGCCTGTGCAGCTCGTGCAGCACTGTGGATATATGCCCTCTGTGGAGTCCACATAAGGACCCGCGCAGCTGCATTTTGTGCCAGTTTCCCCAATGGGGCAGTTAGTAGTTCCCTGGGGCCCTTTCAGGTCAGGAAAAAAGCACAAGAGGAAAGGCTTATCTCTTTCCCAATGTTATACAGTCTTTATTGAAATTGAACCACCATCTGCTTTAATTCAGAAAAATGGGATGAGGGAAAGTATTAAATCCCCAGTGCTAAAATCCTGATTGAATTGGGGCAGGGTAGCCATGACAGCTCTTTCTTAAAACAAACAATACAAACACCACAGATATGTTGAAGTCACAAGCAATTTTATCCTCAGATGTTGAAGATGAATGGGAAATTTTAATTAATTTCCTGCCTTTTTGTTACTATTTCCAAATTAGAAGTGAGGTAGGCTTAGCTTGACTTGGAAAGTCCCTCTCAGATCTATACTACAGAGAATCCAAATTCTATCTATAATGTGTATGTAGTTTTTTCTGGTAGTATAAACGAGGTATTAATATTATACTCTTACCAAGTGACATTGAAGAGATGTTCAGGCACCTTTTATAGTTATCTTTTCTGAACTGTATTTATGTATATTGGCCATTTCCAATCATAAAAGCTAAACTATTTTCTTTTACTGCAGTATTCTAAAAGATTTCAATGCCTGTAAATGTCAAGGTCGTAAATGTAAAGAACTACCCCAGCCATCAGCCTTCAGCAAAGAACTGTGTGTTTCAAACTGGCATGTTGCATATGCTACCTATCCACAAAATATTTGCTGGTAACTTTTCTGCCTCTCTCCATTTCTTTGTATATGGATATTTTTAATTTGGAAGGAAAGTGGGAGGTAAGGTTAGGTAGGTAGGATACAACCATAGTTCTATTCATAGGATGTGCTGCCTCCTCTGCCCTTCCTGATTCAGTCCTCTGCCCCCCCCCCCACCTCTTCTTGAGGCAAGGTGGAGAGTGATGTGAGATATGGCAGAAATGGTTGCAGCTGGTGGGAGGAAGGAAATGAGCAGAACCTGCAGATTCCTCTTCCACAAGCAGAAACACTACCTTGGCACACAAGCAGGCTTTTAGAATTAGCTGCCTCCCTTTCTGGAACATCTACTATTTTTTTGATATCTATTGCATATATTGGAATAGAAGACTGAAAGTGCTTAAGCCTATACTATCCAGCCAACCAGTTGAGATCCTCCTCATAAGCTGTGCTTTCTATGCTGTTTCCTGAAGAAGTGAGGCAGGTGGCTACCAGCGATGGGGTTTTTTCAGTAGTGGCAGCTGCGTTTCCTCTTAAGGTTTGATTGGTGCCTCCCCTGCTCCTATTTTAGATGCCTGGCCAAAGTATTTCCAAAGTATTTATTTTTTCACCAGGGTTTTAACTAGGAGTTTGATATCTTTATTTATTTATTTATTTATTTATACAACCTGGTTTTAGCTTGAGGATTTTTAGGTTGCTAGATATTTTATGCTTTTAGGTTTTCATTAGCTGGGCTTTTCATATTTTTAGTTTGTGTTTTATGGTTTTATTTAGTGAGCTACCTTGAGCAGGATTGTGAAGAGGTGGCATATAAATGTTCTAAATAAATAAAACTGAGATCTGTTAGTCTTAAAACTACAGTCATGATAATGTTAAAAATATAAATTGATTTCAAGACAGTTAAAATATAATGGCTTTTTCTAGAGAGCTCTGACTCTCCAGTCCAATGATGTGAGTCCTCAGCAGAGAGGGTTGTATAGCCAGAACCTTCTCCAAACCAGTAAGTTTACCAATCGCTGTTCAGGAGTGAGTGGGTAGTCGTATATCCTGCTCAACAAAATGGAAAAATCTGCTATTGCAGGAAGAGCCACTTAAACTGGGGGAAGGCTTCAGACTTTGGTACAGCGGTAGACAAGGCTCCCTCTAAGCTGTGGAGTCTTGTGAGGAAAAATTCTACCTTGTGAGCTACTGGCATGACAGCTGTGAGCAAGTGATTTGGCTGCTGCATCAATTAGTTTGCTCTGGAGCCATCCTTCCTGAGCTAAGGCAAAAATGTGTGAGTCAGAGGCTAAAAAACTGAGCTAGCGCACACTAACTCAGCTTAGAGGGAACACTGGCGGTAGGATCCATCCCTGCATTTATTACGGAACCCCAACTTGTTTCAGAAATATTGGCTAAGGGAGTAACATTAACAAAGAAGCATCCTTGCTCTTCAGGCATGTAAATTCTGATCAGGATTTGTTTCTTGATTGAAAATTACTCTGCTGAATAAGAGCTTACTGCTTGAAATGTGTTTGAGATTCTCTAATATAACCCAGGGAGTATGTATGTTTGCTACTTTGCCCACTGTTCTCTGCTTCAGCGGTCCCATTGGTTTATTATATCTGATCAGTCAGCTTCAAGTTTTGTTTAATATATCACTGATATGGTCTGTTATTCATTAGTATTATTATTGCATAATCTAAAGTTTTACTAATCTTCTGTTGTCTTGACAGGACTAATCTCTCAATTCAAGGGCTGATTTGGTGGTTTCGGTGGCTTTGTATAAATTTGTTGCTTTTTCTTGTACTCTTTTTCTTGACCACACCTTCCATCATTATTTCAACTATGGATAAGTTCAATGTAACAAAGCCTATTCATTATCTGCATGTGAGTAGAGCATTATTTCCATATTTTAGCATCTGTTCTTTCTATATGTGCATATGGAAGAACTATCTCTGCAGTCTTGTTTCTGGTTTTACAGTCTTGAGCTGCCTTTTTATGTGTGTGTGCGTGTGTGCTTAATTTTCACTCTGGATGCATCCAAACAGGAAAGGTCTAAGAGCTGAAAATTGCTGGACAACTTTGGACCAGTGACACACTCTCAACCGAACCTACTTTACAGGGTTCTTGTGAGGATAAAATGGAGGAGAAGAGAATGATGTAAGCCACTTTGAATCCCCATTAGGGAGAAAGGTGGGATACAAGTCAAGTAAATAAATAAATAAAACGAGTGTGATGTAATGGCTAGAATGTTGCATCAGGACTTGGGAGACATGCGGTCAGACCCATACTTAATCATAAAGTTCACTGGATGACCTTGGGCCAGTCATTCTCATTCTCTGTTTTAGCCTAGTCTACTTAACAGTGTTGTTGTGATAATTACACACGGGAAGTATATAATAATATAAAATATGTAACCAAGAAATGGATGAATACTACCCAAGACACTAATCTGGATAACTGGGTTTGATTCCCCACTCCCCCACATGCAGCCAGCTGGGTGACCTTGGGTCAGTCACAGTTCTCTCAGAGCTGTTCTCTCAAGAACAGTTCTCTCAGAGCTCTCTCAGCCCCACCTACCTCACAGAGTGTCTGTTGTGGGGAGAGGAAGGGGAGGAGATTGTAAACTGCTCTGAGACTCCAAGTGAAGGGCGGGGTATAAATCCAACTCTTCTTCTTTTCATCATTGAACTTAATCCCTGGCCTTGACTTGCAGTGCAGAATTTGATCTCTGATCAGCTCCTAGCCAATATCTTAAAATTGCTTCCATAACCTAAGCTGTGATTCAGTGAATTGCTTCAGTGAATTGCATATCTTTAAAAGCTAGTGTAATAATTGTGTTTTCATTACAGTTGCATTTCAAGTGCTGGCCTACATTTCTCATTCTTCACAATTTCTTTTTCTTTTTCCCCACAGAACCCTGTTATTAGCCAGTTCTTCCCTACAGTCCTCCTGTGGTCCTTTTCAGCTTTGTTACCGTCAATAGTCTATTTTTCAACACTGTTTGAAGCACACTGGACAAAGTAAAAAACACATCTTCTTACCTTTTTATTTGTTTAAAGGTTTCAAAAACTCTTGGGGGTAAGGATAGGACAGAGGAAAAATGTTCAGACAGAAAATAGAACTGACAACTCCTAGTAGTCCCATTCCTCTGAATTCATTTTTGCGTATTAGTAAGCGACAGACCTTATATGTACCAAGAGGCAATGGTTACATTATTTCTTTAAAAATCACTGTCTCTTTTTAATGAATGTGTCTTCCTGTTTTTAGTGTTAGCCTGTTTCCTAAGTGTTCCAGTGAAAAAAGTCCAGTCTGTGGGTTTTCTTTGGGAAAGATTTTGATCAAGTTCTGTGCTTGACTTACAGAAGCATATATTCAAAAACAACATGCCTTTCATGGAGACTTGCTGTAATAATGGCCTGGATTGCTTGTGGAATTTGCTATGCATTTTGGAAGCCATGGGGCATGCTTAATATCAATGGTGCTGGTGTCAGTTGGATGAATTGTAGTTCCATAATTGATTTTGAGTATTTTTAAAGTAATTAAAGCAACAAAGAATATATAGCAAAAACAAAAGTAATCATTTTTCAAATTTATTCTAGTCAAAATAGCTCTTTAGAAAGAAGAATAAGGGCTGTGTCTGTGACTGTGTAGCAATGGCTGCTTAATCATGTTCTTTTTGGTAGGTCTGGTGAAAACAGAATAATGATGCATAAAATCTACACTTTTGTGATCTTCATGGTGTTAATTTTGCCTTCACTTGGTTTAACCAGGTAAATACCATATTACATTCCCATTGCTTTACATGTACAATTGCAGAAATCTCTTAGAATATATGATGTTGGAACTTCAGACATGGCCATATGATAAACCAGGGGGTAACTTCATGTAGTAAAAAAGTCTACTCTCCCCCCCCCACTGAAATTTATTTATTTATTTATTTCTAGCCCGCTGTATCCTGCACAGCAAGGCTCATGGCAGGTACAATGATAAATATAAGACAATAAATTTAAAACAATAAAACAGATTTAATTACACTGTCACTAAAATCTATGCAAACATCAAATAGCTAGCATGTTAGATGGTGATCAGGCACAAGTTAACAACTGTTCCCATAAACTCTATAAATGTGTACTTTTGGATGGTAATTAATACTAAGGCAAGTGGGCTGCAAGAAACAGCAAAGCAGATGGCACAAGGCACGTAAAGGTAAAGGTTCCCTTGCTCGAAAGCCAGTCGAATTCGACTATAGGGTTGCGGTGCTCATCTCCGTTTCAAAGCTGAAGAGCCAGCGCTGTCCGAAGACGTTTCCGTGGTCATGTGGCCGGCATGACTAAACACCAAGGCGCACAGAATGCTGTTACCTTTCCACCGAAGTGGTACCTATTTATCTACTTGCAATTTCTTGCTTTCGAACTGCTAGATTGGCAGGAGCTGGAACTAGAGACAGGAGCTCACTCCGTCATATGGCAATTCGGGTAGCACAGTACAAATAACATGCAGAGCAGTGCAAAGCAGTGTAGAGCAGAGGAGGCCAATATAGATGAATTTCTGCCACCTCAACCATAGGCCTGGTGGAACATCTTCGTTTTACAGGCCCTGTGGAACTGCAATAAGTCCCGCAGGGCCCTGATCTCACTTGGGAGAGTGTTCCACCAGGCCGGCACCAGAGCTGAAAAAGGCCAGGCTCTGTTTGAGGCTAAGCAGATATCTCTTGGGCCAGGGATCAACAGAAGATGTTGGTCCATAGAGTGCAAGGCTCTTTGAGGGATGTACTGTGAGAGATGGTCCTGCAGCTATGTAGGTCCCAGGCCGCATAAGGCTTTGAAAGTTAGCACCATAATCTTTTTTTAAAAAACGGTTTATTTAGTATTTATATCATACATTATGTCTTACATATCAAATAAAATACATTTATCCTTGCGAGTCACTTTTTAATTGCCTCTAACTAAACATAAAACTTCTTCCATCTTTGTTCAAATATTTCGTATTCTTTTCCCTGTAACAATACATTTAACCTATCCATCTCAGCTATTGTCAACATCTTGTCTATCAGTTCTTCCTTAGGAGGAATTTTTTCCCCTTTCCAGTATTTTGCTAGTATGATTCTTGCCGCAGTAAAAGTATATGTTATTAAGTATTTGTTCTCACTACTGTAATTACTTGGGATCATATTTAGCAAGGCTATCTCTGGTTTCACTGGGATATCTATTCCTGTGATCTCTTTTAACATTTTATATATTGTATTCCAGTACTTTTGGATTTTTCCACATCTCCACCAAACATGTGCCTACATTGCATTTACATTTCCAGCAATTTTTGTTAACTTTTCCATAACACTTTGATATCCTATCCGGAGTCCAATGCCATCTGTGGAACATCTTCAGTATATTTTCTTTGTATGGAATTGCTCTCATCATTTTTGCTGATTTCCATATTTTGGACCATTGTTCTTCTTCTATAAGATGTCCCACATCTCTCATCCATGATATCATAGGACCTTTTACCGTTTCATCTATTAAGTAATCCGCTAATAGAAAATTATATAGTTTCTGTATCTGTTTATCGTTTGAGGAGAGCCAGATCTTATCTAAATCATTATTATTGTCATAAAAGCCTATTTTCTTATCTTTATTAAATCTTGACGTTAATTGTAAGTTGTCCCACCATGTGAGTTTTGTGTTTTGCTTTTCTAGTTCTTTATCAGAGTTTAATTCATTCTCTTTGTTTAGCAAGTCCTTGTATGTTATTCTCCTATATCTATCTATCAACGTATATTTTGTAGTAGCCTCTATTGGAGTCACCCATTTTGGTGTCTTATTATAGAACATTTTTCTAATTTATTTCCATATTTTCATTAGTGAGACTCTTAGTGTATGTGAATCAAAGATTTTCCTTGTTTTCTCTTCATCGTACCATATATATTTATGCCACCCCATCATTAAATTAAAGCCTTCCAGGTTCAGTAGCCTAGGGTTTTCCATAAGTATCCATTCCCTAATCCATGTCAATGATGCTGCTTTGTAATATATTTCCCAATTGGGCATTCGAAAGCCCCCTTTCTTTTTTATCCTGCATTACTTTTTGATTAATTCTTGCTTTCTTACCATTTATTTATTTTTTTATTTAATTTATTTAACATTCAACTTTATATCCCGCTCGAACCCCCTTGTCAGGGGGGTCTCTGAGCGGCTTACAATTCGGTGCTAGTCACCATTTTACTTCCCTGACTAAGGCCACATATTTGTATGGGGTGGGGAGACCTACCGGCACCCCTATGGTGGTGGTTGGTAGTTGGTGGTGTTCTCCTCTTCTTCCTGTTGGCTCAGGCGGTTTCTCAGGCGGGACGCTCTCCTCGGCGCCCGACGGCAACCTCCCTCTCTCGAGGCGCACGACTTCCTGCCTCTTTCTGGTTTCAGCTGTGTCCTTTTCCGGCTCCGCTGTACCGGCGCTTGGCGTCATTGCGGCCCTCTCCCAACGGCGGTTACTCGATGTTTTCTGTCTTCAACCACCACACAGGCAGGGTGCCCCCCACCCTACTAAGGGTGGGTACCCATTTATCTACTTGCAATTAAGTTGCTTTTGAACCGCTGGGTGGGCGGGAGCTGGGACAAGGGTCGAGAGCTCACCTCGACTGCGGTGGTACTCGAACCGCCATAGGGCTGCTCGTATGATGTTACTGAAGCAGGCATTTAACTGCCTGCGCCACCGCTTTTCAAATTCCATATGAATATACTGCATGTTTTTCCTAATTCTTGATAATAGCTTTTTTTTCTTAGTACTGGTAAATTTTGCGCCAAGAACAGGAACCTTGGTAAAACATTCAATTTTATTATCGCTATTTTTCCCATGAATGAGATTTTTAAGTTTTGCCATCTTTGTAAATCTTTTTTTATTTCTAGTAATAATTTAATATAATTATCTTCTACCAATGTGTTGTTCCTGTTTGATATTGTTATCCCTAAATATTTAACTTTCTTCACCAATTCCATTCCTGATATTTCCATAATTTTATTCCTTTGCTTTTTTCCCCACATTTTTCAGTATTATTTTTGATTTTTTGGCATTTATCTTCATTCCTGCCACTTTACCGTAGCTTTGTATTGTTTCTATTGACTGTTTTAAGGATGTTTCCGGATCTTCCAGTATAAATACTAAATCGTCAGCAAAGGCTTGTACTTTAAATTCATCATTTCTAATCTTCAATCCTTTGATTAGCTTATCTTCCCTAATCTTCCCTAATCTTCCCCGTTGTGGGGTCTGATGGAGCATTGGCGGCGGCAGAATGGCGAGCGGCGATGGCAGAATGACGAGTGGTGGTGGCGATGAGTGAAGTGGCGAGCAGTGGCGGCAAGGAGGCGCAACACCAGCGGTGGATCGGACGACGGCAGAGGCGGAGCCAGAAGACGCAAAGGACATAGAGGCGCAGGTGTGGTGGAGCCAAAAATGGACAGAGCCGGAGCCGCGCTGACGCGAACCGCGCACCAGATGGGTCCGCCGAATATAGCCGACTCCGAAGACCACCGGAAGAAGAAGAGGAGCCAAACCGAAAAGCCGAGCCGACTGGAAAAAGAACAGCGAGTCCCTCCACTGGGTGCCGGTAGGGCAGTCCCCACTCCTGACTATGTGTGGCCATAGATAGGGATAAAAGTAACTGTAAGCCGCTCAGAGACCCCTCGGGGTTCGAGCGGGATACAAGTCGAAAGCATAAATAAATAAATAATTTGCTCAATTAGCGTTTCTAACGTGAATATAAATAGGAGTGGTGACAGAGGACAGCCTTGTCTAGTTCCCTTTTGTATGTTGATTTCATCTGTCATATCTCCATTAATTTGAATTTTAGCTGTTTGTGTTTTATATATGGCTTTTATCATCTTCAAAAAATTTGTCCCACAGTTCTATGCTTCTAGTTTTAATATCATGAATTGCCAACTTACATTATCAAATGCCTTTTCCGCATCAAGAAACATCAGGGCCATGAGGGCTCTTCATAGTATTCTAATACATTTATTATCGTCCTGATATTACTTTTAATCTGTCTTTTTGGCAAAAATCCTGCTTCATCTTGATGTATAACTTGCGCTAGGATTTTCTTAAATCTTGTAGCTATCACTGACGCAAAGATTTTATAGTCAGCATTTAATAACGAAATTGGTCTATAGTTTTTGATCTCTTTATCATCTGATTCAGGTTTATGGATCAATGTGATTAACGCGTTATTCCAGGAGCGGCCTCCGCAGTCTTTTGCTTCAAAGCAGCTTCAAAATCACAAGCAGAGTTGCCTGCTCTGCCTGTTGTTTGAAGAAAGCTTTTTGCTTAAGTTCTTCCTCCGAAAGAACTTTACAAAGGGCGTTGGAAAGCCCTTAAAGACTGAGAGAAATACAGCATATGCGAGCTGCTAATTAACTCGCATCTGCTCTCGTCGACGACCGGAAGCTCAGCACCATAATCTTGAATGTAATCCGGTATTCAATTGGGAGCCAACGCAGCTGACAAAGCACCGGTTGTATGTGAACTCTTAATGATGTCCCAGTGAGGACACACGCCACTGCATTTTGGACCAGTTGAAGTTCCTGAGTCAGTCTCAAGGGAAGCATACAGCGAGTTATAGCAATCCAGTCTGGAAGTGACAATTGCATGGATCACTGTGCCTAGGTCGCGGGGAGAGAGATAGGAAGCCAGTTGCTTGGCCTGCCAAAGATGGTAAAATGCAGATCTAGCAATATTTGTGATTTGGGCCTCCATTGAGAGTGAGGCATCCAAAATCACACCC